CACAGCAATGTTCACTCGTGCAGCCGCTCCGAAGTTCAGCGTATGGGAATTGGTGAACTAATGAGGATTGCAGTATTGACTCAAATCGCTACCTCTCTCAGACCTTGGAGGTCTCCACCGATGAAAGCAAAGTTAGAGGAAACACTGGTGCACAGTATTCCAGATGGGGTCCTTTCAATGTCCTATATAAATGAAATGTAAATTTCCCAGTTGTGCATTCAATTCCCTTTGCAATAAATGATAAGATTCTATTATCTTTTTGAATTGCTTGCTCTTCCTGCGTAACAGTCTTTTGTGATTCATGCACAAGGACACCCAGATTCTTCAATATCAGTGCTGTGCAATCTCTCACCATTTAGATAACATGTTTTTTTTCATTCTTCCCGCCAAAATGGACAGTTCACAATTCTCATATTTTGCTCAGTTTGCTGTGCCATTTCTCATTCCTTTAACCTATTCATTCCTTTTTGTAGTTTCCTTATGTCCTCTTCACAACTCGCTTACCTATGTATGTTTGTACCAAGAGCAAAGTTGGTAACCATACCTTCCATTTTCTTCATCCAAATCATTTATGTATATTGTAAACAGTTGAGGTTCCAGCACTTATCCCTGTGGCACACTACATGTTACCTTTGCCAATCTTAAAAAATTGTTTTTGTCTTCTTTGTTTCTTGTTAGCCAGCCAATCTTCTATTAAGGGAGATGACCCTATAGAGATTTAGAAAATCGTGAGACGCATGGATAGAATGAATAGCTAAGGTTTATTTCTTAGGGTAGGGGAGTCCAAAATAGAGGGCATAGGTTTAAGGTGACAAAAGAAAGATTTAAAAGAGACCTGAGGGGCTTACTTTTTCATGCAGTGGGTGGTGTGTGTATGCAACAAGCTGCCAGAGGAGGTGGTGCAGGCAGGTACAATTACAACATTTGAAAGACATCTGGATGGGTATGTGAATGGGATGAGTTTAGAGAGATATGGGCCAAATGCTGGCAAATGGGACTAGATCAATTTAGGATATCTGGTCAGCCCAGATGTGTTGGACCAAAAGATCTGTTTCCGTGCTGAACAACTGACTGTCAGTAGCAATTTATTTCCCCTCCTTTTCCTGATCAAACCATTTCTACATCATGATTTCCTGAACTAGGTCATCTCTAACTATTGCACCACTGCCACCTTGATGAATAGTGCACCCCTCTACCTTTACCTAGCTTCCAACTCTTGGATTTGCTCTCCTGGTTTGACTCTACCCCTTAGTTTGCCACATCCATTCAAGCTTGATCTCTCACTTCCATTGTTTAGTTTAACCCCCTTCTACTTTTCTAGTTAGTGTTTGCTAGAACACTGGTCCCAGCAAGGCTTAGGTACAATCTGCCACAATGATACAGGCCCTATTTTCATTAGTGCTGATTCCAAAGCTTCTCAAACTGAAACTCACTTCTCCCATACCAGTATGACCATGTATTGACTAATTTTGTGTTCTCTGCCAATGGTATGTAGCTTAGGTAATAATGCGTATTATTATTGTGGTTCTGCTCTTCAATTTGGTGCTTAGATCCTTTGTGTAAACAGAACCTGTTTGATAGTTTTACCTATATCACCAGGACCTACATAAACCACAATAACATCTGGCTCCACCTGTCTCCCATACCCAATTCCTGTCCAGACTTGAGCAGATGTCTCAAATCCTGACACTGGGTAGGCAATGTGGCCTTCGGTACAAGTGTTTATGGCTACACAAAACAATATCTATTCCCACCACACCACCCCTTCCCCCTCACTATATTATCCCCTTCTACTCTACGTTCCTTATTACACTCATTGCATGAAAGATGTCTTGAACCAAGGTGCTTTGCTCTGTCTGCTGCTCCTTCCTAGAGAACTTACTACCCTCCGTCCTCACAGACAAGCATCTCAAATTTACTAGATAATTGCAAAGACTGAAGTTCCTACATATTTTCTTACCCTATATCTGCTTCACTAAGGTCATACCCTCCTGTCCCATGCCACAGAGAATCAGACTGCCCTACCCAAAGGGTTTTGACCATCTTCTGGAACAAAGTTTCCAGCTATGTCTCCCCCTTCCTGTGTGTCAGCTGAGCCAGCATTAGTGCTGTAAGCGTACCTCTGGCTGCCTTCCCCATTATTCTCACCAGTGTTTAGAAGGAGCGGTGTTTGGAGAGCAAGGTGTACTCAAGGGACTTCAGTGTTATCTGCTTAATTCTCCTTGACTACCTGACAATTATCCATTCCATCCTTTCCCAACTGTCCTTGAACTGTATGGTAACCGTGTCTATAAACATTCTATCCAAGAAGCTGACGTACTGCAATAATAAAAACTGCTGCTCAAGCTCCAAAATTCAGAGTTCAAGCTGCTACTGTTGCTGACAGTTCTTGCAATTGTGGTTATCTAGGATGCCAGAAGCATCTGGATTTTTAACATGGTACAGGATACATACTCCATGGGTGCAAGGAAGTTGGCTTTTTCTGCAAAGTTCTTGACATTTAGAGTTACGCCAATTCTTTTCAAACAGTTTATTTCCTAAATGGGCTTTCCAAATTTTCATTTTGTGAAGTAACCGGTCATTTCATTTTGGGTCTTAAGTGGTAGTTGAACACAGGTCACCTGGCCCAGAGGAAGGGACATTACCACCGTAACACAAGCGGACTCAGCACCTTAACATAAGCTTTTTATTTAATTGTAGTTGCTAAATTGTGCCTGCTAAAAGACTGAAACCAGCCATATTTTTGTGAGCACACATCAGAAACTGTCTTGATCCAAAAGTAGCAGTACAATACAAACAAATTTGCACCTATAAAAATTTATGTATATTTTTGTGGAGGCACACTTAAGTTTCTGAAAAATTGGATCTCCTCTTCTGCCAAGTTAATGCTAAACATTCTTGATACCCAAATGATTGTAACTCATCTATCTTTAAGACTTGATGAAAAAATAACTAACTGTATTTGGACAACTATGCCTGCTCATGTGTTACTTTGTTGAGAACTTGAACCTTAACAAGGGTAGACTGAACCTATTCAGTCATTTTTTTTAGCAGAGAAACACGTCACGTTGCAATGCATATGTCTGAATTAAATTGTGAAGTGAGTAGTACAGGTAAATTTAAAAATTGCTTTTGGTTTGAAAGAACCCAGAGTAGGTAATGCAATGTTTACTCAACACCATTTTGAGTTCACCATCTTTGTATCCATTGCATGTGTTATTTTGTTACCTTCATGTTTCATGCTACACAGGTGGTTTGTAGAGTTTTGCACATAAATATTTAACTACAATTTCTTGTACAGCTGAAGATAGGAGAAAATGAGCAAAATAAACTAGATCCATGTTAAGTTCTTATACCAAAAGGAAAAAAGCCATCTTCAGAGATCTCAAAAGAATTCTGGAAATGAATGATATTAAATTTGGGGGCGGCACAGTGGCTCAGTGGTTAGCACTGCTGCCTCACAGCGCCAGGGACCTGGGTTCGATTCCACCCTCGGGCGACTATCTGTGTGGAGTTTGCTCGTTCTCCCTGTGTCTGCGTGGGTGTCTTTCAGGTGCTCCGGTTTCCTCCCACGGTCCAAAGATGTGAAAGCTAGGTAGATTGGCCATAGTGTTCAGGGATGTGTAGATTAGTTGGGTTAGGAGGGGTGGGCCTGGGTGGAATGCTGTGAGGGTTGGTGTGGACTTGTTGGGCCAAAGGGCCTGTTTCTACACTGTAGGGATTCTGTGATTCTATTATCAATTTTAGACTTCAAATCTGAGGATCAGCAGTCAAGTCCTAAGCTAACTGCTATTGTGTCATTTAGTTAAATTTTGATAGCATCAGGTAAACAGTTGAAATATTGCTTGTTTTGCAAAGATTGATTGATTGGATACCTTACTTTGTACCATGTTTGGAGGTCAAAACATTGTAAAATAAAACAAATAATTGCAGAGTCTGAAAACCTGACACAAAAACAAAAATTGCTGGAGAAGCCCAGTATGTCTGACAGAATCTGTGCAGAGAAAACATTTAATGTTTCGAACAAAAACAAAGTTGCTGGAAAAGCTCAGCAGGTCTGGCAGCATTTGTGAAGGAGAAAACAGAGTTAGCGTTTCGGGTCCAGTGACCCTTCCTCAGAACTGATGATGGCTGGGAAAACGTCAGTTTATATGCAGAAAATAGGGAGGTGGGTGGGGTAGGGAATAAACAAAACAAATGAGCCCAAAGAGAGAGAAGGACAGTTGGACAGACAAAGGAGTTGGTAACGATCAGGCTGGGAGGGTGAGGAGTTGTTAATGGGGACTGTTAGTGGCCGTTAGCTTTTCCAGCAACTTTGTTTTTGTTCTTGATTTGCTGCATCTGCAGTTCTTTTGGTTTTTATTTAATGTTTCGAGTCCAGTGACTCTTCTTAAGTGGAGGACTGGAGAACGAGTTCTGAAGAAAGGTCACTGGACTCGAAACGTTAACTGTTTTCTGTCCAGAGATGCAGCCAGACCTGCCGTGTTGCCCAAAAATTCAGTTTTTGATAATTCATTATTGTGTTTTAAAATGAATTATTCACAAATGGCTCCCACTATTTCAGAAATTGTTTACTCTGCTGTGTTTGTCAAATAATTATGTGTAAAAACCAAAAGAACTGCGGATGCTGTAAATCAGGAGCAAAAACAAAATTGCTGGAAAAGCTCAGCAGGTCTGGCAGCATCTGTGAAGGAGAAAACAGAGTTAACGTTTCGGGTCCGGTGACCCTTACTCAGAATTTTACACAAATAATTATTTGTCTTCGGTTAGTTATGCATCCCAAACTTTGCCCTGTAGTTACTTCTGATAACAGGATTTTGGAAAACCATATATGCATGCAAGCCATTTGCATCATTAGAACAATTGTGCATTATGTAATAGAACTGTGTTTTGCTGTGCTCATTGGTATTGGTAATTAAACAGTGAATTAGCACAAGTAGGATTCCTAACTGGTATTTAGTTATGTCCAAATAGCAGAAAATACTTAACTAAACATTCAGATTTCATGAATTCTGCATTCGTGGTTGGTGCATTGTAGGTAAAAAGCAGACGTGTCCATACTGTAATGAGAAGGTGGACCTTAAAAGAATGCTGAGTAATCCGTATCCTTTAAAATTTAGTTCATAAAGTTTCTGAAGAATCGTTTAATGTAACTTGTAATTACCAACACAATTTATTTACAGTTTATGCAATGGTTTTAATTTTAGTAAACCTGCTCAAGAAAGGCAAATCTAATTGCGCATACACGCGTTTGTCAAAAAATACAGTAACGACGTGCTTTAAAACATCACAGTAGTATTGGAACGTCTCATTAGTATTCGCTTACATAAGATCAATAAGAACACCTGGATCATTCATGAAAGTTTTCAAAATGCTGTTTTTAAAGTGAGTATGGAAGATGCCCTAAGTATATGTGTTATCTGTCTCTTCACTCCCTTTTAGCAACCTAACTCATTCAATATTTGGGAATAATGTTGTCAACTTGATAAATGACATTTTCAGCTGTAATAGGCAAAAATACAATGTGGATCTGTTTTTTTTCTACTAACTGATTTAGATCTGTAATCTCACAGACACATCAGCCTTCGTTACTTCAAAAGCAAGTTAATTACTAAGCAAGCCACTTTTGAACTCTTTGATTACTTGTAATGAGAATTATATAATTACAGGCGATATTTTACATATAAATCTGTAGATTTTTTTCTTTATTGATTCATGAGATGAGGGTGTTGCTTTTAGGAGTATTTATTGCCCAAAGGACAGTTGAGAGTCAATTGCATTACTATGGGTCTGGAGTCACATGTAGGCCAGACCAGGTAAGGATCGTAGTTTCCTTCCCTAAAGCGCATTAGTGAACTAAATGGGTTTTTCTGACAATCAGCAACGGATTCATTGTTATCACTACATTCTTAGTTCCAACTATTTTTTATTGAATTCAAATTCCACCATCTGCCATGGCTGGATTTGAACCCAGAACGTTATCTTGGTCGCTGGATTAGCAGTCCAGCGATAATACCACTAGGCCATTGTCTCCCATCAAACAGATTTCCCCTTTAAGAGACAAGTGCTGGACCAGATTTTGGATGCAAAATCTTAATTCGCATCTGAAATATTAATCTATATTTTCTCTTTCAGGTTCTAATGAATCTGTATATTTTGGCTATTGGTACTCAGAATCTCAAAATCCCTACAGTGTGGAAGCAGGCCATTTTTGACTAATCAAGTCCTCACCGACCCTCTGAAGAACATCCCACCCAGACCCGCCCCATCCCTTTTGCCTTGCATTTTCCATGGCTAACTTACCTAGCCTGCACATCCTTGAATATTATGGGCAATTTAGCATGGCCAATCCACCTGATCTGCACATCTTTGGTCTGTGGGAGAAAGCCAGAACACCTGGTATACCTACAATGCCATTAGGAGCTTTGACCCAGCAACACTGAAGGAACAGCAATATATTTCCAAGTCAGGATGGTGAGTGGCTTGGAGGGGGACATGTAGGGAACACTACAATTTCCTCTCCAAGACACTTGCCACCCTGGCTTGGAAATATACTGCACTTCCCTCAGTTTCACTGGATCAAAATCCTGCAGTTCCCTTCCTAACGGCACTGTGGGTGTACCTAAACCAAATGGGCTGCAACAGTCAAGAAGGCAGCTCATCACCACCTCCTTGAGGAGGACTAGGGATGAGCAATAAGTGCTGTCTCAACCAATAATGTTCACATCCAATGAATTAATTTTTTCAAAGTATCCTGATAGCAGTACCAGTTTGCTAAGAAATGTTTTGCTTTTTGCTTGGGTTTTGGGATAAAAAACAGTGGACAGTGGAGTTAAGTCCACAGCCAAATCAGCCATTATCTTATTGATTAGTAGAACAGGCACGAAGGATCTACTCCTCCTGAGCCCTATGTTTCTGTCATTCCCATTTGATTCTCCAACATGTAGGAGGTTGAGGGGTAACCTTATAGAAGTTTATAAAATAATGAATGGTATAGATAGAGTTAATTGTAGTTCTTTTTCCCTAGGATGAAGAATTTCAAGGCTAGGGGACATTTTGAGGTGAGAGATTTAAAACAGACATGAGGGGCAATTTTGTTTTTTAGAGGGTGGTTCATGTGTGGAATGAACATTGAGGAAGAGTTGGATGTGGGTAGATTGACAACGCTTAAAAGACATTTGAGTAAGTACATGAATAGGAAAGGTTTGGAGGGATATGGGCCAGGAGCAGGCAGGTGGGTCTAGTTTAGTTTGGGATTATGGTTGGCATGGACTGATTGAACCGAAGGGTCTGTTTCTGTGCTGTATGACTATGATTGTACACATATTTATTTGGTTCTGTTATTTCCTACATGGAAGAGAGAAATATAATCCATTACAAATGTTGCAGCAGTTGTTACTATTTGTAAATTCATTTAGGTACAAAATTTAAAATTAGTTGCTTATTATTTGGCTTTAGTTCTACTTTGTACTTACTGTGCTTTTCTATTAAAGCAAGATTTCCCAGCAATTGACTTTGACAGTGGAGCCCTATTATCTTGTTTTCCTCCTTTCAACTGCAGATTTAACCGTTCTGATTTCCTTTTGTTTACTTAATATTATCATCATCTCCTTGAAGTTATATTTTCTGCTAAGCAGAAGATGTGCAAGTGTTCCAGGTTTGTAAAATGCTTTGCAGTTCCATCAATGTTCTTTTTAGTCTTGAATTATGGATATTAATTTTAAATATGTATGTGATCCGCCCCACAGTACTTAACATTGTTTTCTTAAAGCTACATCTTCCACTAATTTCTGTACTATCATATGTGAATACCTTCCTCACCTCCCACTATTTAGCTATTGCTAAAGTGAGTCATTCTTACATTTAACATGCATATGCACAACGTTCAGTTTCCTCAAATGTTATTGTAGCATTGTTGCACCACTGCCACACTGCTGCTTTTTTTGTTTGTTACCCTGTAATTTCCCTTTAAGTACCTATTCAACCCTGTTCTTAAAATTATTTATGAAATCTGCTTTCTGCAGATTTTCAGGTTAAGCATTTTAGATTCTGACAACTTCTCATCTCCGCTATTGACATTTGGTTGATTTTAAAGCCATAATTTGAGAGCAGGAATAGGTTTTCTAATCAATGAAAACCTCATGTTGAAAACCTGAGGTTATTTCTTCCCCCTTCTGTTCCACAGAAGGAAGTCCTAATTTTTCCAGTGACTTCTCATTTCTGAAGTCTCTAATCCGTGGCCAAATTCCCGTATATTTTAAGGCATTTTATATCAATTCTGAACATTACATTTTTGACTAAACATTTCTGCAAAATGGTATTTAGGTGCAGACACTAAAATGTTAATATTAGCTCAAGTTGCACCAATTTTAATTAAATGGTTAGCAGCCAGATACCGTTTTTTGACATTACTGTACTAATGAAGTATACCCATTTAAACATTAGACTTCGAAGTATCTTCAAAACAAGCTGGGAACCACGTCAGTTGATTATCTGAGAGAAAAACTGTCTTGTGCATAGAGCATTTTTGATTTGTCAACATTTTGTGCTTTTAAAATTGATTATCTGGGATGTATGTGAATAGTAGAAATAGAAGCATGAATGGCTGGTACAATAGAGTTAATTGCTCATTTTTAGTTGATAGTAAGTGCTCACATCTCCAAAAAAATTACTCTCAATGTAAAAGTTACTAAAGCAGTTCTGTCACAATTTCACTAAAATATTAACCAAAGTTACTTTAAACATATGCAAAATGTTTTCTTTAACTTCTTTAACTTCAGGTGGGAGCGCACACATGTTTTATATGGCCAGCTATTAGATTGGCTGCGTTATCTAGTTGCATGGCAGCCTGTAATTATTGGAGTTGTACAAGGGATTAACTACATATTAGGCCTAGAATAAGAGCCTACCAATTTTTTTGGCATGTACATTATAACTTAATCATTTTAAATTATGTATATTCTGTATTTTATATTATTGAAAATGTTTACTCTGAATTTGTCATCTAGAATTACATAACTACAATATGTTTTCTTGGTACATTAATTGCTGATTATGGTGATTATGCTGTCACTTAACTAATGTGCAATAATGTGCGTTATTTTTAAATAAGTAATGTCAGATTTTGTAAAAGGGAACCCTCAGTTCTTTCGCAAACAAATTTGTGGTCCCTTACAAAAAAAGTTGAATAAAATTAAAGCAAGGATGCATTGTCGATTTGTCACTTATTATACTGATTTAGAAATTGTAACTATTGTTTCAAAGAAAGTTTGACCATTAGATGTCTCTATATAATAGCTTATTAAACGTGGAATGAAATTTATACTTTTTGTTATGTCAACACTAAGAGCAATGTTGTAAAAAAAAATTATGATGTAAATGTCTTTTTGAATCAACAGAATTTTATTCATGCCCCACAGTGATTTATTTTTCAAATACTTAATATTGAAAACCAATGTTGTATTTACCTAGTGAATTGCAATTTTTTTGCATCTAAATTTATTCTCTAAGATGTCATTTATTTAGTTATTCTTCTGGTAATAAATGCAATATAACTTTTTTAATTACAATGCAGATACTTTTTTTTTAAATTTGAAGGCACTGATCTTAGTCTTCTGGTGGTTGTACCTGGAAATTTTATTCACCTGAAACTTGACTTTTTAATCAATCTTAATGCAGTTTAAAAGTAATAACTTGGATGAAATTTGGTTTGGAACCTAAATGTAACCAACTGTTTTCTGAACATTTTTAATTCCAAAAGCTGCTTTACAGCTTGGAATATGAATAATATTTAGAAATATTTCAGATTTATCATTTAGATGTGCTCTTATAAAAATACTTCTGCAATATTTGCATCATTTTTATTAATTTACAAATATTATCTAAGCCGTGAATAATGTAAACCAAATTAATCATTGAGCCTGGAAATCAGAGATAACTTAATCAATAAGTTTGAATTATGATTAAATGCTGTATCCTGCAGTAAACCCAAGTTTTATTTGTGTTTAATAGGCGAGATGCAAGTTGAAAATTGGCTTCAGCAATTCAAAGTTGGGAGAAAAATTTCGAAGAAGCGTTCTATTAGACTTGAAACGATAACTGTTTTTCTTTGTCCATGGTTGCTGCTAGTCTTGCTGAGTTTCTCTAGCACTTTGTTTTTATTTGAGGGGAATAAAAACTTGCTTTGTTTCTGTCATTGGGGTTTGTCAGTACACAAGACTGCCCTGATTTATCCATGGTTTGATAGATTGCCTGATTTCCTTTGGTGTCTGTTTTAATTCTGAAACTTGTTGGTCACGTTTGTTTAACTAGAAAAAAAATATTTGAAGTGTAAGGACATGTCGGTTTGGATAATGAGGGCAGTCAACAAAATTATCGTCATATATGAATGAGGCAGCAGGATATCAGGGGAGAACGATAATCTTGGAAGACTCGTCTTGACATTTTTAAAATTAGTTCATGGAATGTGGGTGTTGCATTTATTGCCCACCTCTAATTACCCTTAAAGGTGGAGGTGATGGGCTGCCTTCTTGAATCTCTGCTGTTCATTGGGGGCTGGGTACACCAACCCTAGCCTTAATTCTGCTCAGGAATTTTTGATCCAGTGACAGTGAAAGAACTAAGGTATAATTATAGGGTTATCTGTGACTTGGAGGTGTAAATGTTAATGTTTAAGGTGGCAGATGGAATCCACACCAAGCATGCTACGTCATCCTGGATAGTGCTGAACTTTCCTAATATTATTGGAATTGCACATATCCAGGCAATTGGAGAGTAAAGCTAAAGTTGCCATAGTCCTATCAGACTGTAGAGCTGCGCTCTCATTAGCAGTGAGATGACTTGGTGGTTTAACCTGAGGGTCTCCATGCCTCTGGCAGGTGAGAATTCTTAATGGTAACCTCAGCTAGTGTGGGAATTGAACCCACGCTGTTACTGTTACTCAGTATTACAGCTGAACTTTACACTCCTGACTTGTGATTCGTAGATAGTTTATACACTTTGAGATTTTAGGTGAGCTACTTGCCTAGGGATTTCTAGCTTCTGACATCCTTTTATAGCTGCTGTATTTATGTTGTTAGTTTGATTCAATTTCTGATCAATGATAATTCACCAGGGTTTGATGGTGGGGGATTCAGTAATGCTAATGTCATTGAAAGTCATGGAGAGTCTGTTAGATTTTCTCCTGATGGAGATGGTAATTGCCAGGCACTTACATGATATGAATATTATTTGCCACTTATCAGCCCAAACCTAATGTTGTCCAGGTCTTGTGGCATTTGGACGTAGTGGTTCAGTATCTTGTGACATTGCAAATGGTACTAGAACATTGTATAATTATCAGTGAGTATTCCCATTCTGAACTTTTGATGGAGGGAAGGAGGAGCTTATGAAGGGGCTGAAGATTGTTCAGCCTATGATGTTACCCTGAGGTGATGTCCTGTACTGAGATGATTGGCCTCCGACAACCACTTTCTTTGCAAGATATGACTCCAACCAGCGGAGAGTCTAACTGCCAATTCCAATTGGCTGCAGTTTTGATAGGCCTTCTTGCTCTCATACTTGGTTGAATGCTGACTTAATGTCAAGGGCAGTCACTCAGCTCGCTAAAGGAGTTTGGCATTTTAGATGTTGTTTGGACCAAGGTTCAAGTGAGGTCAGGAGTTGTAATGGACTGACCTTGTTCAACTTATTTCATGACAAAATGATATAGTTTTAAATGATATTCCTAATGTAGACCCTGTTTCCTGTGTTCAAAATAATGCAAATCCAAATGCAGTTCTTTTAAAAATAATTTTCAAGATGTTGTGGCAGCTCCAGGCAACTAATTGCAGAATAAATTCCAAACATTGTTTCACCGTACATTGTGGACCAGGATAACAATATGATAGTTTTAGAAAGTTTAATGGATGTGAATCACTGTAGGTAGCTGCTGAAACAAACTGTTTCTATATGATGCTATTTTCACTTTTGATATTTTCCCTCAAAGTTTGGGACAATTGTCTGATTGTAATTAGGATCTTTTGAATATTTTATGTATGGGTGTCTCGATTAGAGTTGAAGACTTTTGCTGAATTCCAAAGTTGATTAAAGTTGTCACCACTCTTGTAAATTGTACTGTTTAAAATAGAACGCAAGAGGCTAGGTTTCAAGGCAACTTGGATGCCCTAAACGCTAAATTTTCAAGATGGAGAGCATACCCAGAAAATTCCCTTGCTTCCTACAGCCTTCAGAGAAAGTTATTGATAGTTCTTGTTGTGCGTTAATACTTAATTGTTCTTAATACTTCTTTCTTTCCAGTGTTCTAATACAAGTGTCTGGCACAAAGGAATGTATTTCTGCCATAACCCAGGGCATTGTCAGATTTTCAAGGGAGTCAAATTTGAAACCAGTTAAATACAGCAAACCCATTGTTGGTACCCTGAGATTAGCACATTACATGTGAGTAATTTGCAATTACTGGAGGAAGGAGTTACACTTGCTGTCTATTTCATATTCAAAATAGACATTATTCTCCATGTAACCTTAATGTCCACCTATACAAGCTAAGGTTTCTTCTACTTGTCTTCTCCGTGACTGGTGTAATTTTTCTCATGAAAAGTGCTGTTCATTTTATTCAATAAGACCAATTGTTTTTGTACGTGCCAGTTTAAGCTTCTTGTTTGCTCAACAAATTTATACATCATAAGCTCAATTTTATATAAGTATTTGCTTATAGAAGATTTTAAAAAAACACATCTTTCCCATATGTACCACAGTTTGCCTGAACTGAACTGACAACATCCATTAATAGTATTTGTGAAAGATTGATTTTTAAAAAATGCAACAGTTGCTGATGTGACTTGCAAGTTTCAGTTATCAACTCTGCAAAAAGGAGAGACAACGAAAGAAATTGAAGACTAGGAGCAGGGGCCCAGCACTTCAGCTTCAATACAGTAGAGAGAGGGGCAGCAACAGGATATATTGAGGCCCACAGAAGGGGGTGGGGGCAGTACACAGAGACAGTTCAACAACTGCAGCTTCAGGAGACTGCTGATTGAGTGAGCAAATCAAACACTAACATCACAGGATGCTTTGATTTTGTGATTTTTAAAAAGTATTTTTTGGGAAAGTGGATTAACTTAGAAACATAAGTATTAAGTGAAAGTCAGGGCCATTTTAATATAAGTAAGCAAAGGTACGGTAAGGGAAGTAAAATTAGTGTAAGGGAAGTTATGACGGTGGTTCTTGCACCCATGATATGCTCGTCTTGTGTTATACACCAAATCATTGAAGCTTCAGTTGTCCCTGATGACTATGCGTACTGGAAGTGTGTTAGTAGCAGCTATTAGCGAACCTCATTTGGAAGCTAGAACTGTGATGCTGAGTGTGTCATGGATAGCACTTTCAGTGAGGTGGTCACACTGTAGGTGAAGACCAAGAAGGGAGAAAGGGCATGTGTGACCATCAAGCAGAGTAGAGGAAGGCAGGTAGCACAGGAATCCCCTGTGGCCATTCCCCCCTTTTTCAGTAGATATACTGTTTTAGATATTGTTGGGGGAGATGACTCTGCAGGGGAAAGCAGTGGGAGCCAACTTCATGGTACCATGGATGGGTCTGTTGCATAAGAGAGGAGCAAGAATAATAACAGGTCTGTAGTGGTTGGGGATTCATTTATAAGGGGAACAGACAGGCATTTTTGCAGCCACAATAGAGACTAAAATTTGGTATGTTGCCTCCCTGGTGCCTGAGTCTGGGATGTCACTAAACAGCAGCACGGCATCCTGAAGGAGGAAGACAAACAGGCAAACTGTGGTACATATTTGGTACCAACAGCAGATAGGTAAAGGGACTGAGGTCCTGCAAGCAGAATTTAGGGAGCCAGAAAGTAGATTAAAAAAACAGGACCTCAGAGTTTGTAATCTCTATTATTTTTGGTACCATGTGCTAGTGAGTCTAGAAGTAGGAAGTTAGTGCAGATGAACGTGCGCCTGAGAGATGATGTTGGAAGGACAGCTTTAGCTTCCTGGGATATTGAGTGTGCTTTTGAGAGCAGTGGGACCTGTGCAAGGCAGGTGGGTTGCACCTGAAATGGAATGGAGCCAGCACCCTTGTGGAAGGTTTACTAGTGCTGTTGGGTAGAGTTTAAGTTAACTTGGCAGGGTTGGGATGGGATCCAGAGAGAAAGTTTAGCAGGGTAAGGTACAAAGCCAAAAGTAGATGACAGCAAGTGAGTCAGTATGGCATAGAAATTAAAGGTCAGTTAAGGCAGTAGGGAGTTTTTGGCAAGGTTAGATGGTATTCATTTTTATGCTAAGAGTCTTACAAAGCAGATGAGTTGTGGGTGCAAATGAAAACATGGGGGTATGAAGTCATTGCTGTCAATCCTGCACCCCCCCACCAAAAAAAAACATTGGGTAGCTCAATATTCCAGGATATAAGGTCTTCAGGTGAGATGGGGAAGGAGGTAAAAGAGGAACAGGTGTCACAGTAGTCATCAAACCATATGCATAGAACTTTAAAACCGAAAAGGAGCGACTGTTGGGAGTGTACTATAGGCCCCCCAACAGTCAGAAATAGAAGAGCAGGTAT